CACCTTCCACTGGTCTAGGTTGCTCAAAACCCCATCCAACACTTCCAGGAAAGGGACATCCCTTACTTCTCTTGATAACCTGTTCCACCCTCACAATAAAGAATATCTTACCAATATCTAATCTAAATCTATCTTCTTTCCGTTTGAAATCATTACCCCTTGCCATGTCACTACATTCCCTGATTAAAAAGTCCTTCCCCTTCTTTTCTGTAGCCCCACTTTAAGGATTGAAAGGACACTATAAGGTCTCCCGGGAGCCTTCTCCGGGCTGAGCAACCAGAACTCTGTCAGCCTGACCTCATAAGGCAGATGTCCCAGCTCCCTCATCATCTTCTACTTCCTCCTCATCATCTACTTCCTCTGTCCCTATTGCAAGCAGGGCTCTGATACTCTGAAATGCAATTGTGAGCATACTGCCTTAAAAAGATTGCATTATCAACAAGGTCATCATCAATTGTATTATCAAAGAGTGGTGATAGAAAAGAATCTGGAGAAGAATCATGTGATCTAGTATTCATTTCATCTATCAGTTGTTGGAAATCCAGCTTTCTAGTCATAGATAGGTAAGCTAAAACATATAGAGGAGGCAAGGATCTCTGTCAAAGACATTTAATGTGATGTTAAGAAGGGTATTTGAAATGGAAAGATGCATTGGCCTCTGAACACACCAATTTAGTTCCACAGCAGGAAGGTACTGGATTGCAAAAAGCTAAAGGCCAAACTGAAAGGCCACAGCTGTACTGAACAGTGCAACACCTAATGCTGCACAACACTTAACTGTGGCAATCAACTAAAGGGAGCAGAAAGTTTTAGTTAAAATGAAAATAGCATAGCTGGTTTAGACTACACTTAAGTGATCCAAGGCTAAAGGGGGAAGAATACATTCAGAAGAAAACATTAGTTAGAGAAAAACTATAAGGTTAAAAAATAGTGATTGACTGAAGAATACAAATATAAACAGTTGAAATGACTGGTATGTATAAACATTTCATAACTATATTTAACAACAGCAGAGGATTTGATTGATTCAGAAGAGAATCGTGTGATGGAGGGACCTGTAATTAAATCAAAGTACATTATGTGACTGAGTTCTCTTCTCTCATGAAGGTTGAAGTCTGTAACTTTTTTTTGCTCTTTCAATGTTAGTGAGGAGTCATCTCTGCTCTCTTTCACGCTTATATATATAAGGCAACTTCTCAAGTACTAAATCAGTGGTTAGTGAACCTGATTTGGTGTAGTTCAATGAGTTCAATGCCTTTTCACATCTGAAGGGTTCAAACTCATCCTTAACTGCAGCAACCTATTATGGAGTGCGTCCAACTATTTAGCCACACACTGTCTCAAAGAATCTCTAATATGTTCCTGCTGCAGCCAATGTAGGGTCCATTGATTTTTAGGCCAGAGATGAGAGTACTTATGTTGGAGGACAGCTATGCCCAAGGATGTATTGCTGGTGTTATCAAGTGGTTGACTGACATGGAAAAAGGCAAATTTTAGAGCAGAGTTTAGAACTGAGGAGTTCCACTTCTCAGAGGTAAAAACATAGGATTCCTATTATTACATTTACATTTACTGCTCCTGTTACTACCAGTACTACTGTGATCACTATCCCTTCCACTATCATTACCAATACTACTGTTTAGGTGAGCTTGCCCTACTCACTAAAGTTGTTACGTCTTTAAAATAGAGATTGGTTATGTTGTTATACAGCTTGTATCTCTATATTCCCAGAAGAAAACTTGACACTAAACATTTTGAACTGCATTTAAAAGTTCATTGTCTGCTCACAAAGCATGATCTGCTTCTTTTCTCTTTCATGCCATCTCCCAGATTCTGGTTAGATATTCATCTGAGGTTTAGTGAGGAAACAGGATGTTATAGTCTGTAACACATATATAGTAGAATTTGAGACAGACATATAATAATTTCTTTATGTCTTTTGTCTATGCTTTGTTCCCCTGATAAAGCTACACAAAAATTCTCCTCCTCAAAGGTTGGTTAAAGGATGATGGTTAAAGAACAAATTCTTGTTTCAAAGTTTCTGCTGAGAAAAATACAAGAAATTTCCTTACCTTTTACAGTTCTCAATGCTTATAGCTGTCATGAAGATACACATTCTTCTGGAATTAGACATCACTTATTCACAGAAAAAAAATCAGATTAGGAAAGCCGTAAAATTTCTCATTAAATCCTGAACTATCAAAAAAACCCCCCAAAACGTGCTCTGTGCCAAAGCGCCTTATACAACCAGTATGCACACCAGTCAAAATATAATGGTCTCAAACTGTGGCCCAAGAAAACAAGATTAAAATGAGCTGCAGAGCAGTGATTCCTGACAGGCATCTGCCTGGCTTACTCTCTGGTGATACTGTGTCACCCACAGGCAGTGCAATGCCTCACAGCCAGATCACAGATTTTGTTAGCTGTCTGCCAAGCAATAAAAGTCCACCACCTTTTCAAATTCAGACATATTTTGGGCTCTTATCTATTTTCACAAAATGAGGTACGTATTTACGATTAAATTTAAACGAAATGGGATCAGGTTCTTCTTGGTATCAGGCTTCAAGACCTAAGAATCACATAAAAATAGAGCAAATGTTAATTTGAAGTACGCTTTATTTAATCAACCTTCATTTCAATATTTGGTTGTAAAAGAAAAAAAAAATAAGACAGCAAAAGCCTGACCACCTATTGCTATGAAATACAATGTCATGGCTCTGTGAGTAAGTATCTTGCCCACCTGCACTGTCTTTGGTGTTCTGTCTTGTATCTACTCCGAGATTTAGACTGACTCGCAGTACAGTGAAGTCATGATGTGGCGGGATGGCTGATGTTTCAGGTTATCTGTCCTGTGGTTTTGCTCTGTTGGGAACTTCATACACAGGAGAAACAGGCTCTTATGATAGCAGAATAATATGCAGAGCTCCTAGACTTGTGGTAGTTAATTTGTTCTGGATAACAGTGCTGGTGGCCTTATAAATAACCCACTCAGGCACATTTTCTCTGGAATGAAACCATGTGGCTGGAATGCCTTGAAAGCACTTTGGAGAAAAGACTGTTTGTTTTGAATTTGGCTAGTGAAAGGGTAGCAAGCTTAGGACTCAAAGGTTCTAAACCTTACAAATCATGACGAAGAATGAGAAAGTAAAATCAGTGGTGAAGGACTGTTAACTGGGATATAAGCAACTTCATGCCAACATGTGACACACTGGCTTTATGTCATTCTTAGCACAAATGTTACAGCAGGAAAGTGAACTCTCTAAAAGAGTTGACCCAGTAAAAATCATATGAAGTTATTCCACCATTATTATTATTATTTATTTCTTGTTATGCTTGTAATAATTCAGGTGCTTTCCAAACAGAAAAGCTACAGGCCCTGCCCCGAGGAGCGCACAATCTAAAGGTGGACAAGGAGAGAGACATGAAGGAGGGGAGGTCCACAGAGATGTCAAGAGGCCAAGATAGAAAGCAACCATATCTTAGCAATTGAATGTGTTTTGACCATATTGTTGCAAATCTACACAAAGTCTTTTTCAATTACTGTTCGTATTTTGCATTTTGTTTCAACTAATCCACTTCCAGGTGCCATGGCATAGATAGATATGCAGGAAGGAAGCTTTCAATATGTGACTTCAGAAAAAGTAGCACATGTGTGAAGGGGAGTTGGAAAATTCACCTAAAAGTACAGAGATGAGAGGGAATTGTCTGGAGTTTCAAGACTCAGTTCAGTACCAGGACAGTTTAAATCCATAATATTATGGCTTTAGGTCAAGTCCTACAAAGTGGCAGTTACATGTGATGGATTTTGACTGGAGTGTAAGTGTGCTCTATGCAACTGGAACTTCCTTAATGCAGGCTGCTATGAACTACAGAATCTATAAATGCAGGGCTAGGGAAGTTAAGAGTGAAACAACCACACTGATGTGGTATATTTGCATGTTTCCAAGGGAGGAGAAGGATGGTGCTGGGAGTTCTAGGGTGGTCATTCTTAGGTCAGTTGTAAAATTACATTTTTAATAATGTAGGACACCAGTCACTGATTAAAAAGAAACAGACTGTTTAATTTAAAAAATACTATTTTTGACTAAGACAATAAGTCACTCATCAGTTATGAAAAATACTATTAGTTTTTCTTTATACATTTACATGTATAAGTATTTTTTAAAAAACCTCCAGTCAGGCTCCCCCAAACTCTGAAACTGTCAAACTTTCTTAAGGCTTACCTTTAAAAACTTCTCCACAAATTGTCATAGTTTTCCAGGTACTCAGGGGATCATTTTATGATTGTTTATTCCTGAAGTATCATTCTCTTAGCAAATACCAGTGTATTGTAAAGGCAAAAGCTAATAAGCAGTTGACTGTTAAAGTGCATAGGTTCTCCACATTTGGAAAAATAAATGGTTGAAAAAGCAGTAGCGGTTGCGACTACGGATTTCTAGGAAGTAATCCGTCATCAGTTTTTAGCAAGCCACAGATATTTCTTTTACTATAAGAAACTTTTTTTTCAGTCCTCAAATCCTGTAAATGCATTTCTAACAATGGTAACAGGATAGTAATAATCCTCTTGCTGGGAGGGAAAAGCTGTAATTAAATACTCAAATAGACTGATCTTTCATAATTTACAGCTATTCATATTTCTTCAATAAATAAAAGAATATACTTTATCTTTCGTTTTGCTATAGCTTTTGAAACAAATCAAGTTCTTAGCAATGTAACTAAATGATTCTAATAGCTTGACATGAATTATGATTATTATGGTGCCCAGAACATTTTAAGAACTTACAAAGTTAAATAAAAGCTTACAAGTCTCTTAAGCTACTTTTTATTTGCATAGAAAAATATTTATCAGAGGAGTCAACTATCTTATGAGAGAAATTGCCTTTGTTGTAATTGAAAAAGATAGCTAAAAAGTTTCTGTGGGTTATTGCAACAGTACAAGAATACAAGATGCTTCCATTTATTAAAAAATGTAAAACAAATTGTGAAAGCTAAAGCAGGCTACAAAACAGAAGGTCCCCATATTACCTTTCTCTTGACTACTATGTTACAAGATCATGTGCCACAGTTGAGTACTATAAAGTGTAATTCTGCATTTGCTAATATAAGTCTTAAAACATTTCCCCTCCCCAAAGCACTATGCAAAATATATATATTTGTAAATGCTTCCTCCTGTAAGCATCACAACCTTGTTATCACATAATCACCCTGAAGAAATGTTTCCTGTTTCTCATCACAGTCAGTGCTAATGTCCAGCTCCTTCTCCAGCTGATCCTGTGGCGTTGCTGGTTCTGAGTTCTGAAACTCCACTTTCTCCGTTTCTGAAGCACAGATACTTTCCTCTTCCCGTGAATCTGAAGAGTCGCTATTTTGTGACTCAGCTAGCACACATTTTTCATCAGGACTTTGGGTGTTTAATTCACAGTTCATGGTCAGTTCTCCTTCTTCCAGTTCAGCAGTTTTCTCACATTGTTCTTCTGCCTGTTGACGGGAAACTTCTTCAGAAACGGTGTATATTTTATTTGTAAGCTGCTCCACAGAGTTTGTTTTTGATCGTCTGTGAAATATCCCAAAATTTTTTATGTCTGTTACAAAATTCACACGCTTTTGTTTCTCCTTAGAGGACTCTGACACCATCATTGCTGAGCCATTGCTTACGTTATGTGCTTCAGAGGCAATAGTGGCTGATCTTGGATGAATCATTGTTGTTATGTCAAAAAGGCTGAAGGCCTTTTTCTTTCCTTTCTTGTTTCCTTCACTCTCATAATTTTCTTCATTTTCTGACAGAGAGGAAGTGTCTTTGTTCATCTTTGCAGTCTGCAAATTAGACAGCTTGCTTCCTTTCAGCAAACCCAGGACTTCAAAACGAAAGCTGGAAATATCTTGTTTTAACTCCTATAAATTAGGAAGAAAGATGAAATATCAGAGCATGAAAACTAATTTGAGTTTCCCTCTTCTGTTTTATTTTTTACAAAAAAGGCTTATGCTAGGGATCAGTAATAAACTTCACCATCTGGATAATATCTGGCATCTTCAAGGTGTTTTGCAGACTGTCTAATGGTTCTTCCAGGAGAGAGAGAAAAGTGGTCAGCAGTTTTATGAAAGGAAATTTCAGATGAAATGTGCCTTAGCCTAGCCTTCTCATAGCAATCACCAACAGTCGTAGAAGGAGAATGGATAAGTTAAAGACATACAGTCAATCTTTTAGACAGTATTATCCTATCATAATAACAGGATTTTGATCAGCTCTTAATACCATCCCTTACACACATGGAGACACCTGCACACACAAGGCATACACATGCGCACACACTTCCCTGTGCGTGGAAGTGCAGGTAAGACTTCAGGCATTTCCACTAAATGTTTGGCAGTGAAGTCAAAGCGAACCACTGCAGGCTGCTTTCAGCCAGAGCAACCACTGGTACTTAAAGGCACGTCTCAGGAGAAAGCACCTTGCCTTCAGAAGACCCCTATTTCTCTTTGTTTTCTCTAAAACTGTGATCATACAGTCACGGAATCATGTGAGTTGGAAAATGTTTACAGTTTAAAATAGCTGATAAAACCGACTATTGCTCCAGCCAAAGAAAGAAGGCTTACCGGAGTCCATGTACTCTGTGTGTGGTACACACAGTGTTACACTGTGTGTACATCTGTGTGTGGTCCATGAGGACACAGACATTGCTCTAGGAAGTAAGTTATATGCTACCTGAACAACTGAGGAGTGTAAAAAATACGCTTCAGGGACAGAATAACCTACTAAAACACTTACAGAAATAAAAATAAACACATACCTTAAAATTTTCTTCTGTCAGTCCTTCCTCAGTTTTGGCATCTCTTATCATTGCTGCAACATATCTCTTAACCAGATTTCTCATAACTTCCTAAAACCACAAAATATTGTTTTAGCTTTCTTCCTATTAATTACTATGCCCACACTCTCTGGGCCTGCCTGGAATTCTTTGTGCTTTAGGAATATGACAAACAACGTACAAATCTTAGATCTTATTGAAAAAGTGTTCTGATTTTCCATGGGAAGTGCTGATATTCATTACCCTGAAGAAAGGCGGTGTTGGGTTTGACCAGTTTGTCTCATGTCAGTAACATGCAATGAGCAGCTGCTGATGTCTCATGAGGAGTTTAAGTCCAGTGAGGCTGTATAATGCTATTTCCCGTTATACTCTCCCAAACCTCCTGCGACGTGAGATTTTGAGACTTTCTGAATCCAAATGGTAGATGTACATTTAATGGGCTCTGACAGGCTTTCCTATGTGTTTTAAACTCGTCTAAACTTTCAGCATCCACAAATCCTTTGCCAATTAATTTCACAATATAGTTGGAATAAGATCCCATTTGTGGTTTTATTTATTTTTAACCTGATACCTGATAGTTTATCTTGCTACCTTCTACTTCTAAGAATCTTAAATTGTTTAAGTAAGTGGAAAGAGATGCCTGGAGGCTGTGTGGTCCACATCAAGGTCATGTCCCAGTCAAGTGCTATATGTCTCCAAGGGTGAATATGCTGTAGCCTCCCTGAGCAATTTTTTCCAACTCTTTACCACCTTGCTACCTGTGATAATGATTTGTCTCACAAATTTTCCCTTCCTGCAACTAATGTCCATTGACTCCTGTTCTTTTGCTGTGCACCTCCAAGAAAAATCTGATTCCTTCTCTCTAACCACCTACTATGTAACTGAAGACAGCAATCAGATACTGCTTAATCTACTCTAGGATGAAATCCAAGCTTCTCCTTTTATGTTAGCCCTCTAACCATCTTGGTGGTCCTTTGCTGGATTCCTTCCAGTTTGTTAAAATCTTTATTCTAGTGAGGGGCCCAAAACAGGATACACTGGTCCAGATACAGTCCTAAGTGTGGGCTGGAGGAGAATAATTACTTCCCTGAAATTGCTGCCTACAGCCTTACTAATGCAGTGTAGTACGTGTCTGGTATTCAATTTGTGAATAGATGGTAAACAGCTGTGTTCACCCTCCTCTTTTACATATCCCTGTTATATTCTCACAGCTGTCTCTTTTTCAGGTTGAAAAAGTTTACCTAGTTATTTCCCATACAGAATCCACTAATTACTAAACCTCCAAGTGTACACCCCAAATCTTGTTTAGCTTGCAGCTCTTTTAACACAAGACAAAATCGAAAATAAAACTGAAAATTATTCCTTGTGCTACAATAGTCTCAAAAAATCAGAGGCTGAAGCAGGAATAATAGAGAAGAACAGCTTACAGGGATCTAATCAGAGTGGTTACTAAGGGACAGGATTTTGTCTATTGGGGACCAGAGCTGGAGAGCAGGTTCTGTTGGAGCATGTCAGTGAGTTGCATATGTGGTCCTGATGAATCTCAGCAGGGAAGGTGGGACTATGTGTTTGCTTTTTTAAAGGCAATTCATGTTACATTGGGTGAAATACTGGTTAATATATTATTGCTATAGGATTTATCCTTTTGCACCTCAGAATTGGGCAACGCTGCTTCTCAAATGCTATTGTTTGAACACCAAAAGTACTATACTTGTTTGCTGAGAATAAAATATGTATGCATTTTGGATTTTTTCTTTTTCTTTTTTTTCCCCCCTACTTTTTCATGTATTCTTCCTTTTTTCCCTCATGAAGACCTTCTGGAGTCATAGTAAAGCAATTGTCCAAACAATAAACATGGACTTATACCTGGTACTGATGATGTCTTCTCAGATTGTCAGCCGCACGCCTCTGAAAGAAAAGAGAAGAAAAGAGAGGAGGAAAGGCAAGAAGAAAGAGAGGGAGGGAGGTGGAAGAGGAGGGGGGAAAGCAAGCAAACAAGGAGATCCAGGAGGCAGAAC